TTCCCAGCACTACAACTGAAAGACATCAATTCTTCTTTAATCAATCTTCTTAATTGTTCAGTTCTCAGATGCATAACAAGTAACTGAGAAGATTATGGCTTAGAATAGGTGTACCTTAGTCTCTAGACAAACATCTTTGTTCTAATAGCATTCTGGAGAGGTCCCTGACAGCAGACTTTACTGCTGGTACCAAGAGTGTTGATTGTGGATCAAAGCAAGATGAAACTTTAACTTCAATCTTTTGTCCATCTGTCATGATGCTGCTCATTGGCCCAGGGGTAAGGATCTTTATTTTCTTGATGTTGAGCTTCAATTCATATTGAAGACTTCAGTCCTTAATCTTTTACAGTAAATGCTTCAAGTCCTCCTCAGTTTCAGCAAGCAAGATTGTGTCATCTGCATAACACAAGTTGTTGATGAGTCTTCCTCCAAACCTGATGCCACCTTCCTCCACATAAAGGCCAGCCTCCACATTAATCTGTTCCAAATATACATTGAATAGGTATGGAAAAAGGACACATCCTTGCCACTTTCCTTTCTTGATTTTGAACCATGCAATGTTCCTTTGCTGGTTGTACAAAAGCTTCTTGGTCACATGAGCACAATCTGGTATTCTAGTATTCCCATTCTTCTTAATGTCAGCCACTGTTTGTTGTGATCCACACAGCCAAATACTTTTGTATAGTCAATAAAGCACAAATAGACATCCTTCTGGTACTCTCTGCTTTTGGCTAAGAACCATTTGAGATTGGCCACGATGTTCCAGTCCCATGGTCTCTTTCTTAACCCAGCTTGTAAGTGTAAAAGTTCTCTGTTTATGTACTTTTCTTATTTTTGGATAATCTTCAACAAAATTTTACTTGCATGTGTTATTATTGATTTTTCGGTATTTCCATACTTTTAAAAATAATATTATGAGACTTAAAGTATCTATCATGTCACACTATTTAAGAAAGTGGTGCTCCAACATTTCTGTGACAAAATAGATGTGGCTCTTACAGAAACAAGCCACTGCGGGGAACTGGGGGGTACCCACTGTCACCACAAGCAAGTAGTCTCTTTTCCCACTGGTCCTACCCTGTCATTTCCAGTTGACTGGCAGAGCCCATTGCGTTATGGAGAATTTCCTGCTTACCAGCAGAAGGCCACTTGATTCACAGGTTTCATTTCCAAGGTATATGGACAGTATTTGATGTGGAAAGGTACTACATTAATACCAGTAGATGTGAAGACCCTGATTGAGGAAGGCAAGAACAAATCATTAGTGTGGGATACACTGCATGACTTCTGTCTTCCTAGTAGTAACTGGAAATTTGAGCAATGGTGAGAGTGCATATGTTTGAATATTTACTCATTCATGTGCAATGACTAATGACATAACCATATAGTCAGACAAATAGGCAATGGAAAACTGGACTATTAAAATGATGTCAATGTGGGGCAAAGATTTAGGGGACTAATTAATCTCATGAGTTTGAGTCACTGTGAGGTGTTCAGCAAATCACTAAATCCAAAGGACATAGTGGAGAAGAAGTGAACAAAGGAGAAACAACTATGTTGGAAATGATGGTGTAATATGTTGTTGTTGTTGTTGATATGTGCCATCGAGTCACTTGCAACTCATAGCAACCCTATGTACAACAGCCCTAAACTCTGCTCTGTCCTGTGCCAATCACACTGTCTCTGACACTCCCATCCCAATTATCCCAGTCACTGAATCAATCCACATCATAGAGGGCCTTCCCCTCCTGTGCTGTCCCTCTACCCTCCCAAGCATGATGTCCTTCTCCAAGGACCGGTCTCTCCTCACAACATGTCCAAAGTATGTTAAATGGAGCCTCCGAATCCTTGCCTCCAAGGAGCTACCTGGTTTAACCCTTTCCAGGACAAATCTGTTTGTTTTTCTAGTAGTCCATGGTATTCTCAATACTCTTCTCCAGCACCACAGCTCAAAGGCATCAATTCTCCTTCTATCCTCCTTGGTCATTGTGCAACTCTCTGATGCATAACAAGTGATTATGAAGACCATGACCTGTATCAAACACACCTTAGTCTCCAGAGAGACACCATTGCTCTTCAGTACTTTGGAGAGGTCCCTAACAGCAGACTTTCCGATGGCAATGTGCCTTTTAATTTCCTGGCTACTGGTGCCAAGAGTGTTGACTGTGGAGCCAAGTAAACTAAAGCTGTGTACAATTTCAATCTCTTCACCATCCATCCTGATGCTGCCAATTGGTCCAGTGGTGAGAATCTTTGTCTTCTTGACATTGAGCCTCAATCCATAGTGGAGGCTGCAGTCCTTGACCCTCTGTAGCAGGTGCTTCAGGTCTTCTTCAGTTTCAGCAAGCAGGGTTGTGTCATCTGCATAACGCAGGTTGTTGATGACTCTTCCACCAATCTTGACCCACATTTCTCCTCATAGAACCCAGCCTCCTGGATAATCTGTTCTGCCTATAAGTTGAAAAGGTATGGAGATAGGATGAATCCCTGGCAAACACCCTTCCCAATTTTGAGCCATGCAGTGTTCCCTTACTCTGTTGTGACGACTGCCTCCTGGTCCAAGTATAGATTTCGCATTAGCACAATCAAGTGTTCTGGGATTCCCATTCTTTTCAGAGTCAGCCACAGTTTGTTATGATCCACACAGTCAATGACTAGTCAATGAAACACAGATAGACATTCCTCTTGGTATTCTGTGCTTTCAGCTAAGTCAGCTACAATATCCCTAGTACCACAACCCCTTCTGAAACCAGCCTGGACTTCTGGTAGTTCTCTGTTGATGTGCTGTTCCAGTCGTTTTTGGATAATCTTCAGTAAAATCTTGCTTGCATGTGAAATCAGTGAAATCGTTCTGTAGTTCCACATTCGGTTGGGTCACCTTTCTTTGGGATAGGAACAAATATCGATCTCTTCCAGTCAGTTGGCCAAGAGGTCGTTCTCCAGATTTCTTGGCACAACTTGGTGAGCACGTCCAGGGCAGCATCTGTTAACTGAAATATGTCAATTGGTATACCATCTATTCCTAAAGCCTTAATTTTTGCCATTTCCTTCAATGCAGCCTGAACTTCTTTAATCACCATAGGCTCTTGCTCATATGTTGTTTCATTAAATTTTTCTGTGTCTGCCAATTCCTTTCGATACAGTGACTCAGTATATTCTTTCCATCTTCTTTTAATTGTTCCTGGATCATTTAACATCTGCCGAAAGCGTCCTTGATTATAACAACTCGAGGTTTGAATTTGTTCTTCATTTCCTTGAGCTTAAGGAATGCTGAGCGAGTTTGGCCCTTTTGATTGTGACTCCAACTCCTTGCACATTCCATTGCAATATTTTTCTTTTTCATCCTGTGCTATCTTTTGAAATCCTGTATTCAACTCTTTAGTATCTTGAATTCTTCCTTGTGCTTTGGCTTCTCTGCACTCTAGTGCAATTTTCAGAGTCTCTTCTGACATTTCTGACATCCATTTTGGTGTAATATAGTATATCAAATATTTGGGGCACTATTAACTTCTCACTCTTTATAACTGGTCTGCTACTAGCCAAATGAGTTGTAAATGAATGAATGAATGATGGCAATTAGTGGTACTACATAAGAACATGTTGCATTTTTAACCTATTTTCACTTTTAAATATTATTTCCTTTTGACAAAATTATTCCTCTTGTCATAATTTAATTCACTCTAAAATTTTGAGAAATATTCCGATAAAGACTGAGGTGTTGTTTTTGCCTTCAATATGGAGTGCATCTCAATATTAGGAAAACAAAAATTCTTACTACTAGACTTATAGGCAACATCATGATAGATGAAGGAAAGACTGAAGCTGTCAACAACTTCTTACTTGGATCTATATCAACACCCTTAAGTACTGCAGTCAGGAAATCAGGAGACATAACATACTGCGAAAGTCTTCAGTCAGGGATCTTTCCAAATTATTGAGGGACAGTTAGTTAGTTTGAGGACTGTGGTGCATCTGATCAGACCATGGTTTTTCTGAACACTTCCTATAAATTTGAGATCTGGATTACAAAAGAATTGATGCCTGTGAGGTGTGGCATTGGAGAACAGTACTGAATATCTCTTTGATTGCGAAAAGAAGAAATAGTCTTGGAGCAAACGCATCCAGAGTGTCCTTTGAGGCAAAGATGACAAAGCTTCCTCTTGTATACTTTAGGCATGTTACTAGGAGAGGCTATTCCTTGGAGAGGGACATCATGCTTGGAAAGGTGGAGGGTCAGCAAGAGAAAGAGAGTCTCTCAAGCAGATGGATTGATGTAGAGACTGCTGCAATGGGCTTGTACAAAGAAAGTTACATTTAGGGTTTTAAAAGAAACTATTCTATGTTTATTTGCAACAACAAGTAGGGGGTGGAGTTTGGAGAGGTGCGGGGGGGGGCAGATTGTGTACCAATGAGGGAGTTTTTCTTTTGCTTTT